CTTTTGTACAACTTTAATCTTGTTCCTGGGAAGATAATCTGCCAGGCCAAAATCAAACTGTCTATCCCATCAAGAGAACCAGAGAATTTCTAATGAATATTTTTAGGAATAAACCTAAAGTTCCCCTCTCTTCACTATGTACACGCCCTCCCCCAGATCTCCATTTTAAGCCCCAAATATATTTAACAAGCACACACAAAAATTAAACGTTTCCATCATTATCCTCTCAGCATCTGCTCCCACTCTTAATACGGGGTTCAGTCACTGGCTGCCATACTGATGAGTTTAGGCCCATGTGATAATGGGCCAATGTAACAAGGAAGTACTATGAGCTACTCAGTGTTACATGGGATAGCTAACCCTATCATTACAGTGGTGAGAACAACGGGAGATGGACAATATGTGATAAATTCAATGTTTTTATATAATCAGCCATGACAATCAGCACAGGGCCACTAAAGGAACTGAGGGTGCCTGGTGGCAGAAAACATTATTTTTATGAGCTAAGGGAGGGAGTAGGGATTTTAAGGGCTACATTGTGTGATGTACACACAGTCCCAATTTGGAGGGAATGTGGAGCAGACCCCTCCCAAGGGGAACTCCAGGATAGATTGTGGCTCAGGAAACACAGTCCCATCCAGAACTCCCAGGTGTATGGGGGAGTATGCATAGTGCACCATCCCTAGGCCTGGCTCTCCATCCTCACTCCCCTTAATACTCCCCCAGCACAGGAGCTCTGACTGTGCCTATCCCTTGTACAGGGGGACACAAGCACCAGGCAAAAATCTAGCCCTAAATTCAGCTCATTGAGCTGGCTGCAGAAAGGAAAGGGTGTTTTTTTAAAATTAATTTAAATAGATTTTTGTAGTGTTAAAAAGCAGGTGAACTATTGAGCCAGGAGGGAGAAAGAGGGAAATTACAGGAGGTATCTTCTTGAACTGAGTAAGAACTATATGCAAGAAATGACTTGGAGATCTTTTTGGTAAATATCATTCTGTTTTCTTTTATTAAAAAAAATAAAGCAAAAGTTAAACCATCCCCAGCAGGCTGCTAACATAAATGGTGCTTGGCACAAAACGCTTTAAGGAATGTATAATTCATATGAGGAGACAGGCAAAATCAAGTCAAATAAATCAGTGTAAAATGCTGAGCAATGCATGTTTAATTCTATTACGCCACACCAGAAAATATAATACTATGAATGGTTAGTTATCGTGACAACAACTGGTACAATTCTAACTATCCTAAAAAATTGTATTTATTTTAATAAGCTATGTCATATTACTCTCCCAGATACTTTAAGCATGGGAAGCTTTAAATAACTCATAACACTACTTCATCCTACCAAGCTCATCTCCTAAATCAGAATTATTCTGTAGGATTTAAAGTCTGCTATGAGCTCATATTTTTATCAAATGATGCATAATATGAATCAAGTGAGGCAGAATTGATTTACTGGGTTAATTGGACTCAACACGATTACATTCAAGAAACAGTCTATGTGAAAAGTGTAGGTTTTATACCAATGAGATGTAGCAGAGCCTGTCATACTCCAGCATGAAGAGAGAAACATTAACCAGCACTCAACCTCTGAAAATCTTTTTAAACATAGAAAGCAGGCTAACCATGTTTATCAATGTATATGCCCATATGCAAAATGAAAAATGAGGTTTCAAACAGATGCTCATTTATATGCAAGGATGTTACAAGTGTCAGGACAGCCTGTCAGAGGAACATGCATGTCTTTCTTTTGTAATGCTTCTTGCTCTCCATGGAGAACATTCTGGCTCTCTACCCTTTCCCAAGAGGTTAAGTGACATATGCAACACTTACTTGTTTTTGTGGATAGTCATTTAGAAGTAAGGCACACCCATCAACAGAAAGTGGCTGCACTTCTGGGACTCATTTGGTGATAAATGGTTTACTGAGTACACAAGTTAAATTAAAAATAAAATAATCTACACATCGGTGCATGGGAAAGAGGCTATAGACATATGCATGTATAAGTGGACATGGGAAAAAGCTTTTTTTATTTAAATTTGTGAGCTACAAAATTTTGTAAGTCAGCAAAACAACACGGATATGCACTGCTTCTGGAATTTTACACATCACTACAGGCAAACAAAAACATAGAATAGGTTTCAGTTTCCTCACAACCATAGAAAAATGACAGCAACTATCAATGAGCACCGAAATCTGCCATTGAAACAATAAAGAGTAGTAAAGAATACAAGACACTCAAGTGCTCATACTGAACAGATACTGGAGATTTATGTTACAGCTGACAGGATCACTCACTAAGTAGCCATGCACTTTTCTGCAAAATTAGAGGAGAGAGATGAGGCAGGAAATGAAATCCATTTCAGACTATCAACAGAAATACTGAATAGTGCAGCTGAATGGATGTCTATGCCAAATGTTGTATGCAGTGTTATGTAGCCATGTTGGTCCCAGAATATGAGAGAGACAAGATGGATGAGGTAATATATTTTACTGGACAAGGTGGGTGAGGTAATATTTTTTATTGGTCCACCTTGTCTTTCAAAGTTCATCAGAGTCCTACTGCCATTTTCAAAAAGCAAAAATCAGGCTATGTCTATACCATGAGCTAGAGATGCGATTGTCCTGCTCGTGTACACATACTCACGCTAGCTCTCATCAAGCTAGCATGAGTATAAATAACCGTGTACCCACGGTAGCACTCAGAACGGTAAAGTAGTTCCACCCCTTCCTGAGGGCTGCAACTAACAGGCACAGAGGGGGAAGTACTAACTTTTGCTTAAACATCAAACAGGTGAGACCTGTAACCAGCATAGAACATTCCTGGATCCAGGTAACTGCCTTTTGCATTCCATTCCAGGAGGCTGTAAGCTCCTTCATTAGAAGGAAATGATATTGAGAAAAGCCTATAAAGAAAATCTTTCAGGGTTTCCAGTGCAGTTTTCCCCTCTAACTCTTGTTTAATACAGGAGGGGAACATCTGTCCCATGATATGAATAGCTATATAAACAGATTAGATAAATAAATACATAACAATAATGATTATCATTTATATGGCACTATAGTGGTAGGATTTTCAAAAGCTCTCCATGTTGGCCTGATTCTGTTCCCAAATCTACCACAGACTTCAATGGGAGCAAAGTAAAACCAATGCTGAGTGCTTTTAAAAATCCCACTCTATATATTTTAAGCATTTAGACATGAACTAATTAATACTCACAACCCCCCCATGCGAGGCAGGTACAGTAGTAACCATTACTATCTCAATTCTGACAGTTGGGGCACTTGAGGCAGAGAGATTGATTGATTGATTTGCCCAAGACCACAGAGCCTGGTGGCAGAGCTAGGAATTGACCCCAGTTTCCTAGCTCCCAATCCATGCTCTAACCACTAGATAACTATTTAGGTAGTTAGTAAGATGGAATAGATGATAAAAAAGTATTCTCATAAAACATTACCATTCTATAAATGCAAACGATACAGGAATAAATTAAGATAATGACTCACTGGCATTTATTCCACGATCAAACTATTGGATTTCAGAGTTGTTGGGATTCTGGATTTTTGTTTGTTTTGGGGTTTGAGTTTTTTGTTTTGTTTTTTGTTCTCTTCAATATTTTTTTCTGATAAAGTTCTTATTTTAGTGTTTCCTATTTTTTCTATAAAAATCTTGTCAAATGTGAATGTACAAATATCAGAAAATGTAATGGAGAAAGGATGAAAATATTAAAGACAACATTAAGATTAAAAAGTAAAAAAATCTAAAATTTTACAACATTAGTATCAGTATAGGCTAGGTTTAAAAAACTGGGGCTCTTGAATGCCTCTAATATTTCAATTACCTTGTGATGAGAGGAAAACTTGGCTAAATTTTCAAGTATTATGGACTAAATCCTCAATCCTGCAAACACTTGTGCACATGTTTAATTTTATGCACATGGGTAATCCTATTTAAATCAATGGAACTACTCATGCATGGAAAGTTAAGTACATGCATAAGTACTCATATGGATTGAGGCCTAAAATCTTAAAACCTATTGTTTCTATTACTAAAATTCAGGAACTATTTATTATGTTGGGGCCCATTCCTGCAGTCACCACTTAGTCCTAAATGTCCCCACCTAGCTGCCAGATCTTCCAGCACCCCCCTGACATTTTGATAATGTAGTTATGAGTTTTCAACACACATAGCTAAAGCACACTGAAAATCCAAAGGAGGGTGGAAACTTAAATTCAATCTAACATTAAAATAAACGCCACAAGTTATGTTGGACTGTACTGGAGAGAAACAGTGAAGGGAAGAATCCTTGGGTGAAGCAGTGATGCAGAATTCTGGGATCCCAGAGGCATTATGTAGGTCTAATGTTCTGCTTAGGACACAAGACTTTGTTCACGGAGTCTTTGGACTTATCTACTTGGCCCCATATTTCGGACTACGGGGATATGAACTGCAATGTACACTAGCATGCTGCACTGTAACTCCCCCATGTGGACACTACAAGCACGAACTAAAAGTTTGGGCTAATAAAGTCCTCTTTAAACGGGACTTAAGTTAATGAGAACTAGGTAACTTTTCGTTTGCACCTGCAACATCCACACAGGGGAGTTACAGTACAGCATGCTAGGGTGAGCTGCAATTCATGCCCACATAGTCCGAACTGCAGAGTGCTATAAACATCGCAAAGAAAATAAATTCCTTTTGATTGCATGTTTTCAGGCTACTCTACTGTACTGGTTATTTGAGTCCACAAAAACATACTTCTATCACTAATCCACACTCCTTTATCACTTTTATTCATAACGTTGGAATTCTTAGCTCCAGTTAACGTGAGTATGTTTATGTCAGTCTAAAACAAAAATAGAAAACACATTTTAAAGAGAAACTTCAGGATAATGCAGTAATTTCAGCTTGACTTCCTGAAAACAGAGTGACTCATCTTTGGCCAAAGAAAAGGCTTCTCCTTAGACAAAATAAACAGAAGTGTTCAAATAGGGCTTACCAGTCTGTTGCGTTTGTGCCATTCTTTTTGGATAAGTCTTACTATGACTTCTTTCAACATTTTGGTCAGGCCGAGGAAGCTGGACAGAAAGTTCTCTGCTCATCTGCAAAGCTGTCCTGCCACTTGAAAATGCAACAAAATCAATATGATGGATAAATGGAAAATTGAGAAGTGAACTTTAAAGCAATTTAACATTTTTATTTAGAGAAATTATGCTGGGTTGGGACAGCACAGTGAATTAGTTATCAACCTGTTACCCATGGAACCTTGATTCAAGTTCTAATATTCCTGCTCACACAGCAGGTTGTGAGGTATTAACTACAATGCTATTCATTGTGATTTTGTTTCAAATCAAATCTTGGCACAACTGCCAACAGATCATGCCAATCTCTTCTGCTTTTGGTATTTTTCCAACTGAGTGTAAGGAAACAGTTCCAGAATCCACACAAAATGCTACTTTATTGAAAATTAAGACAGTAGCCAACACAGCTTGGCCTTTTTTGTGGCCTCACGATAACCTTTGAGCATGCAATTTTCTTAAGTAATTTGATTGCTGTAATTTTATTTCCTGAATTAATTTTTACAGTCATTTGTCTTACTAAAATATACCTTTAGCATTGCTCTGTTTGAGGCAACAAATGGCTGCCCTAATATTTCACATAATCAGACTGGGAATGATAAAGCGACACCAAACTTGGTGCAGTGCCAGCCTGCAACAAGCCATTAACACAAAAAAATGATAGGACCTGATTTTCATTTATGCTAAGGCCCCTTTTCATTGCAAAAGGGACTTAACGGTGTGAGAAATTATATTTACACCCATTTTAAAGCTCTGTCACCCATGACTACACAGTGTAAAGCTGCTTTAGCGTAAATGTGAATTAGGCCATAGGTTGTAAATATATTCACTTGTTCCTGAAAAGCATATTGTGTTGCGTACCCAGTGCAGCTCTCAATTTTTCTTTTAGACATTAGGAAAAAAACAAAAATAATTAATTACAACCTAAGCATTCCTGTGTTTACAATAATTGAGAAAGATATTAAACATTTTCAGATTTAAACTGACAAAAAAAATTAAAATCTATAGTAGAGACAAGATTCATAACACACAATGAACAAATAAGGTAAATCTCCGTATCACAAAAAACTGTGGCTCCAATGTGGACCTATGTCACTGAACTGTTTTCAATAAAATTAAGTTACGCTTCCCCTTTCCCTGTAAAAAAACAAAACAAAACAAAAGCAGACGATAAGACTAAAAATTTATTCTATAATTTCTGGATTTAACCTTAAAGTGATATTAACCATAAATGACAAATGCAGGTTTAAACAAAACATCTGTGAATGAACAAATAAGATATATTAATCAGATAGCACTATGAATTGTATTTATTTTCTGCTGTCATACAATAAGATCAATTAAATACTAACATTATTTTACTAATAACACTAATACTATCTAACGGTATTTCAGTTTCAACAAAAATAAAATGCAGAGACTTTTAATTTTTTTTTATAGATCTCTCTTACATTTATTTTAAATTAAGGTTTTTGGAAAGATCATTTCTAGCAGTAATTCCCAGTTGCCACATCTGCAGTGCAATGATTTAAAAACACTCAAGCGCATTTCTAATGAGTGAAGAGCAATTATACTGTGTGTTAAACATTGTAATTAGTATTTGAGTTATGTGAACATGCATTTGGATGAACACTTTTTTTTTTTATTTCTTTAAACATCAGAAAATATATTTAAGGGGAAAAAACCATCAGAGTGGATCAAAGTATTACTGGTTTTAAGTTTCAAATTATTTTATTCTGCAGGCTAGCCAAAAAACATTAACAAATGTTATAGCTCTGCAACCATGTTAACCTTTGTAACCCTCCAACAGGAGCCTTCATTAATCCCCTTTGGGCAGCACCTAATCTAAACAACTAATCTGATAATGGGGAGTTGCTTACAAACTATCAGACTCCAAACAAACAAATATCCCAGAGGCTAGCAAGAAAAGGTTATGACCCCTTCTCCTCAGGCATGGAATTATAGCTTCTGTCTTGAGCTTATATTATATATGCAGAAGTGCAGTTTTATTGTTGCCCCTCAATGATACAACCCACCCCCCAAAAAATCAAATAATAAAAAAGGTGGGGTAGTGGGAATCAGATCTACAGTGTAAGCAAACAGCTGATGCTTTAAGCACATGAAGATGCTGTTAATTACAGTTACCAATATGCATTTAATGAAGCACATTACTTAATCTCAAATACCAACCAATTAAATAATGTTCACTATCATACTGGTAATCAAAATGCTTCAAATGCGCAGTAGCTGAACTTTAATGGGATAGTCACAATCTTTTTTTAAATTCCAAATTATTAAAACACTAACCCACATCTGGGGAAAACCCTTGTAAATCAACACAGCACAAGTAAGGATTCCTTTTTCCCTTCTGGTGATAAGAGAAGATTTTATCTGGAATGTTTAAAAAACATTTTTGCAGTCGACGACGACCCATTCCAAGAGGTGAATTCATTATCATCACCAGGCACCTTGGTGCTGTATACAGACAGCCCGTGACAAATGAAGAGGGAAGGTAGGAGACTAGAGCACCAGGGGCAGAGATACTTAAGTGTGGCCAACTGCAACAAAAAAATGTTAAATCACGCCATGGGTGTGATGGAGGCAAAGTTTCTTCTCCTACAGCAAAGCATCTGTCACATCACAATCAGCAGAACTGTTCCAGGCGGTGGACAGCCTGGGTCCTCTCTACTCCGGCACAGAATCAAGTATTTCTCATTGTGAGGAGCTTTCACTCCAAATTCATACATAAGATCACTCCAATAAAGAGTAGATTGGAAGCCCCTGTGGAGCCAGATCCTTCTCTACTAAGATTTTGGCCCTCATTTGTTAACTGAGGTTCTGGAGGTGCTTAAGACTTGAGGTTATAGGACTTATGATTTTAGGTTTGTGTTCCTGGGAGGCAGTGATAAGGAGACTGTACCCCATATTGTGACATTCAAACTTAGCCTTGGTTTTTCATGAGTATGGTATAGTATAGTACTTAAGATTAGTATTGCACTTTCTGTTCAAATGTTTCTAAGCACCTTACAAAGATGAAAAAGTGTTTTTATCTCCCTTTGACAAATGGGGAAACTGACACTGAGGGTATGGCTACACTATAGGGACTATACTGGCATAGCTCCTTCGCCATAGCTATGCTGGCAAAACCCCACACAGCATAGGTACAATCTACATTGATAGAAGGGGTTTTTACGCCAGTGTAGGAACAATAGCTCCCCAAACAATGGTAGCTAGGCTGACAGAAGCATTCTTCCATTGACCTCGCTGCATCTACACCGGGGGTTTGGTCAGCATAGCTACTTTGGTCAGTGGTGTGGATTTTTCACACTCTTGACTGACGTCACCAGGCCTGAGAAAAGTAAGTGGCCTGATTTCCAGAGGTGGTGAATACCTGCAGCTCACACAGAAGTTAATTGGAGCTGCAAGTGTTTGGCACTTCTGAAAATCCCACCATAGCTGAATTACTGAAGGTCACACAGCATATGTGGCAAAGCTGGGTCTAAAGCACAGGTCCTCTGGCTCCAAATCTTGTGCTCCAACCATTAGACAAGGAAACCTTAAATTCACCAGATGGGTTTGATCTATCCCTAGCTTAACCAAAAAGCACCAGATCCTTAGCCCCACTATGGCTCATTTGTACTGCTCTGGCACCACTAGGGGCTGTAAAGCTAGTTTAACTGGCCTCCTGAGGAATGTCCATACTTGGTGGATTTCCCTATTGCTCTGTGCCATCCCTACTGCTAGATCTCTGCATAAGGATCGTGGCCAGGGTCCTTCTGTGCTCGAGTGGTCCACACTTGTTAAAACAGCCCCTTCAGGCCATTGGCTGGGTGTAATTTAGAACATTCCTGAGGCTCCTCTATGTTGTGCTATGGGCTGTACTGGCCCCCATCTAACCCCAGGGATCAGGGAGCCACAAAGGCAACCTTGGCCCCTGCCTCATTGCCTCCTTCCCAGTTCCTGCTTTGAGCACAGCTAAGTCAGACCAGAAAATCTGGCCCTACATCTCACATTGTTTAATCTGTGAAATGGAATGTTATTAACAGTTTTTCTAAGGGGAAATGATCTGAATGTAAAGATTTTAAGGTGAAATAGATTTACCTGTACCGATGTTTATAGCCTACGGATCCAAACCTGCTGAATTTTCTTGACAGAGAGTTTGACTCATTTTCTGGCATTCTACATTATTTTAAGAATAAAATGACACAGTAAAATTACATACACTCAAATATATAGTAAATAAACTACCGTAATTAATGTACATGTAGAATGGTTTTAGGATGATGCAATGCTATTATAAGACAAAGTAATCTCCTCCACTTGTAACAGAAGTTGTGGGCACAAGTTTGCAGGTCCAAAAAGGGGAAGCATGGCTCTTCTATAAGCTCCTCCTTATCCCCATGTCATGGCAGGCTCTCCATGGGGCTCAGAGTTCCATGAATCCATGCAGGTGAGGCTAGAGCTAGATGGACGGGTTCTTTCTGTGCCATCTCACCCTTACCCAAACCCCACAGAACATCCCTGTGCAGAGTCCTGGGAACCAACAGCTGAGCCAGCACTCTGGTCATTTAAATACCAATTAATTCCCCCCAGGATGAACCTAATTAATGGATTTGAACGGGCTGGGGGAGGACTAACAAGCAAATTGGTCCATTAACACAGACTGTATAAGAACACACAGGAGAGGGAGGCAGGCTAGCAGAGCCTGGAAAGGTCTCTGGGTAGCGAGATCTCTTCCCTCTCCTTGGCAAAGAACTGAGGAGAAACTGACACTATAAATAATTATTGTGTATGGATCAATAAGGTGATGGGAAGAGCTAATGTAACTAAACTGCGCTTGGGTGCTTAACAACTGAAAGTCTCCGAGTCTGTGTAGACAGAACAGAAGACAGGAACAGGATGTTGCCCTGTCACAATCCCCATAAAAGTTAATGCTGACTGAGGGCATATCTACACTACACCAATGGGGAGCAGGGAGCCCATAGCCCAGGGGGTGTAGCCGGGCTCCTAGCAGGGAGATCTATGCCCAGAGTCCAGTTGGCTGCTGTGCTCCTGCCGGGGAGTTTGGGAGGGGGGGCAGCTGGGTTCCCGACGAGGAGATCCGCACACAGAGTCCAGTCAGCTGCCATGCTTCCGGTGGGGAGCCGAGAGTTCGGGGGAAGCCAGGCTCTCAGCAAGGAGATCTGCACATTGTGTCCAGTCAGCTGCCCTGTTCCCAGCGGGGAGCCGAGAAGCCGGTGTGGCTGCCCCGTTCCTGGCGGAGAGCCCAGGCAGCAGCCCAGATAGGAGCAGGGAGCTGGGAGCCTGAGCAGCAGCCTGGCTGGGAGCGGGGAGCTGGAACCCCAGGGGGCAGCAGGGCTCCCTGTGAGGAGTGGGGAGCCCAGGCGGCAGCCTGAGTGGGAACCTGGGTGGCAGCCTGGCTTACAGCAGAGACCGGGCAGCAGCCTGGCTGGGGAGCTGGCTTTCTTGTCAATTTCATGGCTCCAGCAGAGCCCCCTCGAACATTCCTCCGCACCCCCCTAGGGTCCCGCCCCACAGTTTGGGGAACACAGGTCTACAGACAGGAACGCTGTGTTGCCCTAACTACACTGACATAAGCCCTATGCCTCTTGTGGAGATGAAGTTATGATGTCGGTGTAGGATGGCACTTATATCGGTGGGAGCAAGGCTGTAGGGTATACACTGACATAGTTAGGTTTACGTGAGCTGCCTTAGGTCGATCTAATGCTGCAATGCTGCAAGGCCTGAGGCACTGTTAACTTGTGCAAGTTCCTCCTTTGTAACGTGGATTACCCTTGAGTCATGCACTGGGATCAGCAGCTGATGGAGGAAGAGGGCCGGCAGCACAGCTCCCATATTAGTTGAGGAACAGGAGGCAGTACAAAGCTACAGGGTCTTGAATAGCCTTTGCCTCCTGTTAATCCCCCAAGTGCCACAGTTTTGGAGGTCCAAAGACCTTGCCACTTCTTTGGTGGTGGGAAAAACCCTGCAAACTTCTATCCCATGAAAGAATGGTGAATACATTCTGAGAGTGTGAAGTCATGGAGCTTCCTCATCTTTACATTGGGAGAACACATCTAAGTGAGCATTGTGCCCATTGTTGAGGGCATGTCAGTGTTGCAATATTATGAGGGCAGGACTTTTACAGGGGTTTGTAACACAACTGAACAAATTTGCTTCCAACTGAAACTTGCTTTGCACAGGGACATGCCCATATAATTTAAAGATGCATACATACATCTCAGGATTTGCTGTACGCTGTCATGCGGTACAACAGTGCAGCTTGTCCCTTTGAGGGCCCGGACACCTGGGGCCAACCTGCTCTATTCAATTTATCAGATGCAAATGGGGAAGGGGCCAGGGAGCAGGGGTTCAGGTGTGCCTTATAGAGGGGCTGAGAGAGATCAGTTGAGTGGGAACTACAGGAGGGAGGTGGGCTTCTGCAGTAGGCCCCGAAGCAGGGGGATTGAAAGGAAGGGGGTTTCCCCTTTCCAGCACTGTGAGAGTCAAAGGGAAAAGCCTCTGGGAGCTACAGCCCAAGGTGAGCAGAGGAAATGCTTTTTGTGTTTGATGTTTTTGCCTACATTCTATAGTAGAAGAATAAAACTATGCCTGGAAAGAGACTTGGGCAGGGCATGTCTCACAGAGGAGCCCAGAATCAGGAGGGCACAAGAGTGGCTTAAGGCCACCCTAACCCCTCACCCCGTGCTGTGAGTCTGTGCTATGCTTCTGAGAGGTGCAGCAAGAATCTCAGCCAGCACGTTTATCTTCTGTTGTCATAACATAGTAAAACCTTAATACCTTTATCTCCACTCACCTGAAGAACGTATGATGCTCTACACAGCATTTCCAAAGATGTTTGCATGTGGTTTTGTTACGTGCTTCAAAAAAGAAGGATGTTTCATTGCACTGAAATAAAAAGAGACAACAATACTATGAAAGATTCTTCCTATGGAGTGGATTTTCACTTGCCGAACTACACGTGTGGGGCCTGATTCTCCTCTCCCTTGTGCCAGTATAAATCAGGAGAAACTTCACTGAGGTCAACAATGACATACTGGTGTATGTGAGAGGAGAAGCAGGCCCTAGAAATGTATAAAACTGTTTAATTTAAAATAGAATCACAGAAACTACTTTGTTTGTCACTTCTGGTTTGATGTATTATATTACTGACAAGTATTTTACTAGCAAAAACCCATATTTTTTCATATATTCTATTAGTGATGTTTTCTCAAACCACACCTTAAAAGGCCAATCAAAAGCACACATTTCCCCCCCAAAATAATTTTTCATTTTATAACATTAAAATTTGTGGGAGATTACAACACTCAGTTTATCTGAAACTTCAGACAGTAAAAGTAAGTAACATTTATAACTTAATACTTATAAACAACCAGGTCCTGGCAAATGACATTAGTAAAACTATGTGCAAGTCAGTGACTAGGATCTTGTAAAGGCTTTATTTACTAATGCACAGAGGAAAGGACAACAGGGAGCAGAGAAAAAACATAAATGAAGGTAAGAATAAGGCAGGTGGGGCAGACTAAATCAAAGCAAAAGGACACAAAAAAGGGGCAAAATTAAACCTGGAAATCAAGAAGACAATTGGAAGAAGTGACACAAAGAAAGAGAGAACAGGAAGAAAATTAACTAATTATAGAATGCAATATTTTCAAATATGTGGGAAAGGGAGCAGAAGACAGAAAATCTTGGAAGACAGCAACTGTTGGGAAGGCTTCTACAGGCAGAAAGATGAAAAATGAATGCTCAAAACTTAAAAACTAGCTAGAGACAGATGGAAATCAGTCAGATGGGAGATTGCTATCAGCTTCTACTATCACTGCCATACATGGTATAAAGAAGACTGATGATGATGATGATGATGTAGGAGAAGGAGGAGAAGAGAAATTTACAAATCATAAAATACCTCAAATGAAGTGGTGTCAACAGGAAAAGGATGATCAGGTCTGTATTTTTTTTATTTTCTTTGCTTACTGAAACATCATTCCTGCGATATATGTTACAATAGGTGGAAGTGTGACCATGCACCTAGTATATATTTTTTAATATTTTGTTTTACAGGAAATCACAAATCTGTGCAGTCTGTGCAGACCCTGGCTTGTGTGTGTTACTGCTAATACCAACCTTCACTACGCATACAATGGAAACTCCATTGTCTAATAAAGTGATTCTAAACTGAGCTATACATTTCCTTTCTGATAGATTGCATTCAAAACCCAGCCTATGAAATAAATTGGTATGTACAGTAGTATGTTCAGCAAATGAATCAACTGTGCATATCTGGCACAAAAGGAATTTCAACATTAAGTGGCTAGCTAGCTAGAAGATAGGATTTGGGAAGAAAGGATTCCCCCTTTTTGTAATGCCATCTACCTAGGCCAAGATTTTCAAAATATGCACACCTAAAGCCAAGATCCTAAGCAGCGCTCTATTTGTGCCAGGGCTTGCACGGGCCAAACCCTGGCACCACTAGGCTTGGCAGTTCATCACCCCTCTGGGCTTGCTGCCTGAGTTATGAAAGTAAAAGAATTGCTTGAGCCCCGGAACCTAATTGCTTGAGCCCCAGCACTTCTTTCATTACAAATTAAACACTGGTTTCAGAGTAGCACTGATTAATTAAGTATCAGGGGGTAGCCGTGTTAGTCTGTATCTACAAAAACAACAAGGAGTCGGGTGGCACCTTAAAGACTAACAGATTTATTTGGGCATAAACTTAATTAAGCACTGATCCTAAGAACTAAGTCTATATTTAGGCATCTTTGTAAATCAGGCCAAAGTGCCTAAACTCAATTGTTGTATGCAGTGTTGTTACAGCTGTGTTGGTCCCAGGATATTAGAGAGACAAGGCGGGTGATGTAATATCTTTTATTGGACCAACTTCTGTTGGTAAGACAAGCTTTCACACTTACACAGAGCTCTTCTTCAGGTCCTGAAGAAGATCCTTAAGAAGAGCTCTATGTAAGCTCAAAAGCTTGTCTCACCAACACACAAGCTGGTCCAATAAAAGATATTACCTCACCCGCCTTGTCTCTCTAAACTCAGAATTAGAAACCTACCTTTAGACACTCATGTTTGAAGATTTTATCTATTGACATTAAAATAAGTCTTCCAGGATTATACTAATCTTTTTCAACAAATTATAAAATTCAAGATTCAACATGAATAACCTTAAACTTTATCTGTCATCCAGTTAACTTATTAAGGGCCTTGTTCTGTCATTGTTACACTGAGTATATAGTACCTTACTACCTGAGTAGTCTCACTGATTTCTGTGGGATTATTCATGTAGTAAATTATCGCTCAGTATGAGTGACAGACTCAGGTCCTAAAAGAGTTTCCTCAATAATCTGATAACATATAACAAGTGTTTATAAATGGAATTTTACCATTTTTAGTAGCTGGTTTTATAAAATGGATGCCTGCACATACAGCATGATGTGTGGGCATGCATGTAGAGTCCATTCAGGTTTCTCACATTTTTCATTTAAACCGCAGCTATGATTTGCAAACAAACCTGCAAATCATGAACTAATCTAGTGCATTCCCCAGAATCCAAAAATCTCACTCCTAACAAATAAATAGATTACATCCCTTATTAAAGGCTGTCGGGCAGTTCATGAAAGTTACAAATTACTTGCTTGAAAGCCTTTCTTCAAACATGAAACAAGCAATAAACAATAATAATAATAATGGGGGGGTTGCACCAACGATTGGAATAAATAACTAATGTTTCATTCTCTGACAATGACAAAAACATAAGGGATATACCTGAGCCACTTCATTCTTTTAGAGTTTTAATGTATATTTTTCCACTGCAGAAGATTACACTGATGGCTGGGATATTTAGGTGAAGTTACCAAGGACTGAATATGCCCCCAGATAAGCTGCAGCCTTCACCCAGAGGGACCTTTTTTCCTAAAGACATTACAGCAAAAAGAGGGGCCTGCAATAGGAATCATCACCATTGCAAGTACTGGAAACTGGGAGACGAAACTCTTTCATCTAAAGAGACTGATGTTCTGCAGAGTATAGATGATATTTATATTTGCTTTGCAACAATATATTCCTGCAATTAATAAAAAACATGATCTCAGATATTACTGGGGCCTGGGGGGTATTGAATTCCAAATCTGCCATGCTGGACATACAACATGTGAATCTCTGGCAATCAGGAGCAAAATTCCAGCTACTGAAAAATCCAATTCACTCTTATTGTGTGTGACAAATCCAGAGCTAGGATTTTTAATGAAGTGTCAAGTTTTTTTAAAAAACTGAAACAAGAGAAGCAGATTTTAGGATGTTATGACTGTGTCTACATTAAAATTTATAGACCAGAGTCTCAGCTGGTGTAAACTGATAGACTGGTCAGACCCTATGGGACTGCGGCAGTCAACATAACATACAGTAACCCTTAGGCTACACTAATTTATGACAGGGACTATTTTGGCCCCCAGCCAGACCAGGTTCATAGAAGCAGAAAAGTGATTTACGGTAACTTCTCCTTCTCCTCACTCTTGTCAGATTAATCGAGTGTAAACCCAGTGCAGGTGAAGATCTGGCCGCATATACATTGCCACTCTGCTTCAGTAAATGAACGATAGCAGAATATACATATTTGGAAGCAGTTGCTTAGAGCGAAACATTATTCTTTGCCAAGTTAGACACATACCTGGAGATTATCATTTGTTTCCTCCAACAGAAAATGTTCTTAAGGGTTTTTTTTTTAATGTATTTACCTAATGCATACCAATCCTAGCTTATGCAATCAAGACTGTATTACGGGTTACACAAAGTCACCTCAACTTTACAGTCAAGAAGATAATTATCTTAAAGTACATCATACAACTCAAGTATCAAAATAATAATAAACCTGTGCTATTACTGCATAACCACTTCAAGATTTAAAGTACCTTAGCCTCATAAAGTAACAATACAAAAACTTTACTAAACAATAACTCACAAAAGGCTAAAAAATAAACCTGAAAATTAAGCGACCACTTCAGGTTTGCCAAGGAATTTTATTCACTGCACTTTAAACAGAAGGCTGTTTAGTGGTGATTCACCTATTAACCACTACACAATTCTTACTGCTACAAGTAGCAGATGGTTGAGTGGGTAAGCGGGGGGGGGGGGGGGGGGGGAAGACAAGTACAAAACTCTCTATTTAGTGGATCAAATTCTCTGCACTTGCTTACACTCATACCACCCCATTGATTTCAATTTGTGTAAACTGACCCACTGTTTGTAATTTTTAAGTAACATGAACAAATTGCTCTATTTTTCTGGATGGGATTTTAAGTTAAATTTGCAGCTAGCGTGAGAGGGCCAGATCTTCTGCCCTGGTTCTGTCTCTTTTATGCCACAGATGAGGCAGAAAGGAGATGAAGAGCTGCACAACCAGCTCCATGACTCTCCCTTGTGCACCCCTCCCCACCCCAGCACACACAGTGTGGCAGGGCAGGACGGGGTATGGCTGAACCAGCTTATTAATATATTGATTTAGATTTCTAACAGTAATGAAAAAGGCCTCGATCCAGAGCTGTAGGCATTCCTGACAAAAGTCACACAAATAAAAATAAAACCTTGCCCTCAGGACAACCTGGCCAAAGGAATGGCCCCTAGGGTGCCCTTAGAGCTGCTGTAGTTTGGACTTGTCCTGATACTGCTCTAACTTCCACAATTGACTAATTTTGTCCCTGAAGTCCTTGGATTCAGTACTGAGCACAGCCTAGCTGGACTTGTGTATCCAGCCCAGAGAGACTTCTTGAAAGGCCCAGTCTGGCATGTGTGAGCCAAACACTAGTCAAAATGTCCCTTCCCAACTCATTCCTGAGTTTTTCCACTGATCACAACTTATTACAGGCATTTGAACTATGAGTTCTTCAAAC